AAATTTCCTATATAACTAAAACAAGCACTTAGAAGCAATGTAGTGAAAAATACACTTTTTAGATTAACAAAACTTTTTTAAATATTGAAATGAAAAGTTTTTGATGATATATTCAGGAACTACATGAAAAGGATACAAAAAGAATCCCTACAATACTTTACTGATGAACATCAAAGCAGATCTGAATAAGTGAATAAAAATATCAGATTTTATAAAAGTAACATAGACAAGCAGTCCATAAACCAAAAATATCTGTAATTTTAATATTGCCTGAGTTAAAATCCCAGTGGCAGCTAACAACTCATTATAGAGTGCATCCGTGAAAATAAAGAAGGGAATGTAGCAAAACACATTTTTAAACAAATACTAATGAGGTGGTGTTTGCAACATCATACATTTAGATTACAAAGCTACAGTATTAAAAACTATGTGCTCTTGGCAGACAGACTAATGGAACAGAATATAAATCCAAAAAATATACCCAGGTACATGCATGTGTATATACTATGTAATAAACTGGCATTACTCATCAGTAATAAAAGGTGGATTATTTAAAAATACAAAATGATTCAATAGTAAAAATATAAAAGAAATTATAATATGTAAATATACTCACTATAAAACTATCTGCCTACCTTGGTTCAATAACAGATAAACAGTGGGTGTGAATTTATCTGTTATTAAACTGAGGTAGAGAGGTTTATCCAAGGCAAGAGAAGCAAAGAAAAGAATTGATAAACATAATTACTTGAAAGCAAAAACATTCAATGTCAATAAACCATATAAAAAATGTGAAAGGTAAATGACAATTTGGGGAAAATATTTGCAGCATACAAGACAAACAGAAGTTGAGTACCTTTAACACAAAAATTAAAATTAAATGTAAATATAACTTCTTTAAAAAAAGGAATGGTTAACAGAATAATGCACAAAGACATGATTAGGAAATTTATAAAACAGAATACTCATGATATAGAAGGATTTTTATTTGCATCAGAAAACAGCAAATTCTAAATTAAAACAGCACCCCATTTTCTCCTAAAAATGGCAAAGGTTTTAATATAGAAACAACCAGTGTTTATAAAGCTGCAAAAAGAAGAACTATAGTACATTGTTTTTGACAGTACTGTATGTCTATTTATCTATAGGTAAAAAATATAACCTATGAATAAGTTCAAATAATTTATTGTCAGCATGATGAATGTAGTTAATGACAATATATTATATTCTTGAGAAATGACAGAAGAGTGGATGTTAAATGTTCCCACCACAAAAATGATAACTTTGTGGGGTGATACATAGGTTAATTACTAGAATTAGCCATTCTACAATGTATATGTGCTGCAAGGCATCATATGGTACACAATAAACACATACAATTTTATCTGTCAATTTAAAACAATAAACTAAGTTAAAAACGAGAAAAATAATTTAAGATACTTCACCAAAATGTTGACAGTAGTTATCAGGATGATGAGACAGGGATAGGGGCGTTTTTGTCTGCCTTCCTAATTTCATTTTCTCATTCTAAAGAACGAAATCATACTTTTACAAATGAAAATCAAGCGCTTTTTAAATTATTAAACATTTTTTTCTAAGATCTATGTAGAATTTTTATTCTTTTAGTGTTATCCCGTCAAACAAACCTAGTTTATGTAGATACTAAGGTGAGCCCAGGCTAAAGCAACAGGACTATAATTTCGGAGAACATGAGAGGTATTGAGCCATTGCTGAGGCACAGCTCTGAAGCTCTGAGCTTTAGCTTTCTCTTGTTATTAGTGGAGGGACAAATGGAGGGTGGGGGGCTCAGCTGAGAAGAGCAAGAGGCAATGGAGGGATACAAATCGAGAAGAACAGTGGCTGACTCGGCAAAACTTAAATGACTTTGCAAAAGACCTGTCACAATGGATAAACAGCTCCTCCTGAAGAAGAAGCTTAGCATTCCTGCAGTGCACACACAATTATTTCCAGGGATAAGATTGAGAGGAAGGAGAAAGCAAAAGGAAAGGAAAGATCAAAAGATGCTTTCATGAGTATGCAGACATTTCTGAAATGAGCAACTGGGAAGAAGACGACTGCAAAAGGAAACACATAACAAAGCATGCATGTACTTCATTTTAAGCGTCAGTCACTAGGCAAACATCCGCTATCTCTGCTCTTCTGCTCTTGAAAAATGGTGAGTTGCTCTGTGGATATTGACTACACTCTAATTGTTTTTATGGTAAATGAAGCATGAAACCTATTGTCAGAAAACACGATGTCCACAGTGTGCAGCCACACTTTGTCTTCCTGGCTGATCACTCCCCAGGAGTTAATGCTGTCTGTGTGCCTAGGAGAGGATGCAGTACCACATCCTTGCATTTTTTTTTTTTTTTTTTTTTTTAGACAGAGTCTCCCTCTGTCACCCAGGCTAGAGTGCAGTGGCACGATCTTGGCTCACTGCAACCTCCACCTCCTGGGTTCAAGACAAGGTTTCGCCATGTTGGTCAGGATGGTCTCGAACTTCTGACCTCGTGATCTGCCCGCCTAGGCCCAAAGTGCTGGAATTACAGGTATGAGCCATGGCACACAGCCATTCTTGTATTTCTTTAGGGCAGATCTTTGGAGAAGAGCCCCCTCACCCACCTTGTTATTCATAATTCCTTCCATGCAACAACAACACAAATCTTCTTGTGGGATGCTGGAAACCCTGTTATATCCAAGGAAGAGGCAGGAGGGGAGGAGGGTGGTAGAGGTCTCCTCTTTAAAACATACACAGATTTGTGTTGACAAACATTGGTTACACTCTTTGTATTACAATAAGAATCCTGACACCAACAAAAGTTCTAGGTTTCACTCTGCTGATTATTACATCTCAGGATTTAACTTTATTCTTCAGAAACTAATCAAATGGTTCTCAAAAAACCTATTGATGGTTTGAAACCAGTAGATTTTATAAATGTTCTCTCTGTCATCTTTTTGTGACCATAAGCTTATCGGCTGGAATATTTTGGGGGTCAAGAAATGCTCAGGGTGATCTCCCTCACAACCATGTAGTTTTCAGGTCCTTTTGGCAAGAATCACAATCTGTGTGGTCAACTGCTTCGTAACGAATAGGAAAATATATTACCATACAAATGTCTGGGTGAAATAGGTAGTTTCCCTCCTGCTGATCTCCACCAAACTCCATGTCTGCCAAACTTAATTCAAATCTATTCAAAGTAGACATATTAATCACATCCTGTTTTCAGGTATCCTGCCCTTAAGGAGCTGCACCAGCCTAGGAAAGGTCAGAGGTCATGGAAGGACCTCTAGCTTCAATCCCCTTGGTCAGGATGCAATTGAAAAACTAATAGTTGTGTGAAATGGTGTGGAAAGGTAGGGGCAAATAATACTATCTCCTTATAATAACCTATATAGCAGCCATTGTATTTGAAGCCTGACATCAAATTCTTTAGACTTGAATTAGAAAAGGCATTTCTTTGATAGATTTCTTTTTGTTCCAGTTTGCAGGCAACTAATCCTCACTGCATTGGATCAAACAGATGGGCACAATCAATTTGACGAAAGCAAGCAATGCCAATTCTGCTCAATCTTCCCTGAATGAGCAGCAGAGGAGAGAGGGGGAAAAAGGGAAAGAAGGAAAAAAAATCCAGGCATGCCTACACCCAAGATAGCTTAGTAAAGGAAAAGATGAAAAGACAAGTTGAAATATATATGCTGGCAGGTGGAAGTGCTTGCTGTCAGAGGGAGAGTCTGAAAACACCACAATGATACCAAACACACGAAGCCTTCAGACACTGAGGGGTGTTGAAGGGGCCAGGGCAGGCGGAAGCGGTTGTGATGCCAAAAGAAATCAGCAGCAGCAGCTCTATGGAGGAAAGAGCCCTGCACTTAAATTTAAGTTTCTGTAGTCTATGGTCTATAGCCCAGTGTGGTGAGCAAGTTAATTACTGCATTTAGATAATCAAGTCTCAGAAAACCAGAGCCTTCCAAAGCAGTATTAAGGCATACTGCTACATCTTTCTAGGCTTCACTGGCCATTGGGGAAGAAGTCACACTGCAACAGCCGCCCAACAGGAACAGGAGGAAAATTCATGAAAATGAGCTAGAAATAAGATGGTCCCAGGATGAATGGCTTTCTCTCTACCTTTGGATGTGAAGTGCATGACCAGATGCCTCCTCATTTACCAGGAAACACTTTCCCAACAGCTCAATTTTCCCATCCATTCTGACACTCAAAGTGTGGGCAATGACTTAGCTGCCTTTGGCTTCTTGGACTCCCCTCCATCCTCTCTCCTCTCATATGCCCATTATTTCTTCCCCTCTTGCCCCCTGAATTTGTTTTGGTCAAATCTAAAATATTTCTCAACAGGAAAGAGCATCAAAAGGGCTCATTTGGATAACGGTTCTCCTTCCCTTGGCTCATTAACAATCCCCACGATTCTCAGAGATCCAGCCTTTCCCTGCTGTGGCTGGGAGTCTGGTTCTCTGAGCCAATGCGTTAATCATCTTCAAGTGGTTCCCTTCATCTTCCAAGAAGGAACTATGGTGTTTGAGAATGGCAAGAGAGTAAAGCATTTCTTGTCTCCAAGTGCCTAGATATTGCCAATGAGATTGCCATTGTTGTTTTCTGAGTAATGGCTCAAAAATGTTAACTGTATACATATAAACACAGAACTGGAAAATATAGGTGTATGTAGATATCCATGTGTGTCACCAAGCCACATCTTCTTTATCATAAGTAAAATGCATTACCTAGAAATATGTATAAATACATATAGTTTTAGATTTGCATATATGTGTATGAACAGGCAGCATCCTCTTTATCATCAGTAGGAAATGATATGTCCCTGGTTTGGGTCATCCAATAGGGCCTAACTGCACCTACCTTCACTTGGCAGTTCTCCCGTATTTTGTCTGTGTAAAGACCCCTAGGTCCACTCGACTTTCATTACTGAGATATTCAGCAATGGAACCACCAAGGTCCAAATTTCTCTGAGCCCTTGGGAGCATCTTACCGCTGGAGGTGCTGGTCCAGAGCCTCCTCCTCAGCACTCAGCAGGGTTGCAGCTCGAGCCAGGAGCTGATGGCTGCAGCTGGCAGATTTGAGCTCCAGGATGAGGAGGCCCAAGCAGAACATGGCTCCCATCTCCTCCAGTTCTCTGGTACCAAACTGTAGACCCTGCAAGTTAAACAAAGCATTAACCATGACAATGTATAATGGGAGCTGAGTGGAGACACATGAAGATTGGGAAGAAGGACTCCTACACACAGGCCTTTTTCAGACAGTGAGAATTAATTATATTTGTCAGTCGCTGTCCATTGTGTTCTGTTGTGTGCATTGTGGATTGGTGGTGATGTCAACATCCAGGGCTCCCCAGAAATACCCCCATGACAATAATGAGCTGGTAGGGATTATAAAGGGAAGTGGGGTGCATGGAGATCCAGGAGTCTGTCCCCTTCCCACACCATGGTCAAAGCAGCAATGCTTTTATCTGTATTTTTACAACAGTTTTTCACTGCTGAAAAAAAAGTTCATAAACAATCTTACTAAGAGATGCCTTTTCCTTCCTCTGAATTTATCAGCCAATGGAGAAGAGTAGGGGAAATCTTTCATATATAAATACTGAACATTGAAACTTTAAAAAAAAAAAAAAACAGCATTCATTTAGAACCCCCTATTCAGCTGTACTCAGATACCCATGAAAGCAAAATCATGACATGTACTCTATAGTATAATTCATGAAGAAACAGATAATAATAACAATTGACAAAACTTAATTGATCACTTACTGCATGCCAGATAACCTTCTGTGCTTTTTGATTTGCATTAACTCAGTGGATCCTTACCAAAGCCCTATGAGGTAGAGATTGTTCTTTTTTCCATTCCACAGATAAGGAGATGCAGACTTATCAATACAACTAACTTATCCAAGGCCTAGCATCTAGTAAGCACCAGAGGCTAACAGATAAATTCAGGCCTGACTACTCAACATAAAAAGCTGTGTAGCGACTATAAGAGACTCCATTGTGGTGAGCTAGAAAGTGTGTGGTTTTTGAAGTTAGATCAGACTTAAGTGTGAATCCTAGTTTCACTAGTTTCTAACTGTGGGGGCTTGGGCTCAGTGAACGCTATTTGCCTTGATTTTCTCATCTGTAAAATGGAATCATAATTCTCCCTTTCATACCTAGGCATCTGGTGATAAGGAATATTTCACAGTCACAATATTGATCAAAATTAGCTCAATTTATCTTTCTCTCTTCCTATAAAGATTTTTAATACAACAGAATTCAGTGTGGTCCTGAGGTCTTCCTGTTTATAAAGTACATTTGACCTAAATAAAAAGTAATCGATAGTGAATCATTTTTTTGCAAATAGATTTTCACATCCAAATAATAATGATTTATTATGGAGGACAGGAATGGAGCAATAAGAATGCAAAAGGATTGCTCAAAAGCACCCCAAGGAGAAACAAAATTCCAAATTGGGAAATTGTAAACCTCACAAAAGAATTCCTGGCTAAAAGCACTAAAAAGGTAGAAAATCCTCAAATTTATTTCAGCTGTTTGAAAGTTTGATTCGCTGCATGTTTTGACACCTGTTTTCCTAAAGAAAGGAGACATTACTTCGGAGTTAAGGGAAGTCAGTTCCTCCTTAAGCAACAGCAGCCAGAAGGGAAAGACAGATGTTGAACAAGTTGTTTTTTTTCTTAAGTCAATAGAAAAGATCACTTTTTAAAGAGAGAGAAATCTCAGTCTCTTTTCTACAGCTCCAAGGTCTGATTCTTTCCCCACCCCTTTTTCCAGGTTACTTTTATAAAATTCTAGAATGGCTGGCTTGGTTGGAAGAAAGTGAAGGTCACACCCTCCTGCTCAGTCAGTCACCTCACAGATGGCAAAGGAGAGGCGAGGAAGACTCTCCTTTGTGAGAGTAAGACTCTGGCCCTCAGGGGCAGGAGCACTCACAGACACATTTGCAACCCCAGCCTCCAGCAGACACATAACAGGTGCTCTGTAGAGGTTAAAAGAAGGAGTCCTTCGGGAAAATAAACCTCAGAGTGTATGCCATACTGGTAGGTTAGGGAGAGTTCGTCATACCAGACAACTTCTATACAATAACAACTAAAATGATAGTATTTTATAATGTAAAAAAATTTGATGCCCCAGATGATGGCCCACATGTTTCAGGTCATGGTTGCCATTGTAACAAGTAGCCCAGAAGACCTTGATTAAAGGAACTTGTACCACTTTATTGGCTGTGGAGACTTGGGCAAGGCCCTTATATTCCATTTTGCACTTCACTATTAATCTCTCTTTACTACTCTATTTTTTTCTTTTTACTCTCACATGGTATAAAACATATTTGAGTATTGTATTTGTTTTTGATTTGTTTTGTTTTAGAGAAAGGGTCTCGCTCTGTCACCCAAGCTGGAGTGCAGTGGCGCTATCACAGCTCACTGTATCCTTGAACTCCAGGGCTAAATATATTTGTTTATGTAGATGACCTCCCCTCACACCCCATCACTGGTGTGGAAGAGAGCTTTTCGAAGGCAAAGACTGAGGAGTATGTTTCTTCCTTTACATCCCTGGCATGGAGCACACACCTGTCAAATGTCATATCCTCAGTATGTGATAAATGGATAAATAACGACTCTAAATGAATGTACGTGGAGAGGCATGGATGGATTTTTATCTCTCAGATGCATATTGTATCTGTCAAGTAGCACTTGACTTCTCTGGGTTTGGGCACGTGAGTGCCTTTAAATCTTGCTCTCCCATTGTCAAATGTTGTGAGCATTAAAAATAAAATTGATTTTATTTTGACTCCAGGAGACTTACTCACATCTCTGGATATAAACTGGGAAACAGGTAAATAAAATTTAGAAATTTTGACCTCCACTTTGGTCAGTTATCATAGGTTCACAGTAGAAAGTTGATGAATAAAACTGGCTCTGGGTATGTTTAAAAGTGAGTATAAATAAAATAGAGATCCAATTCCCTTCTCACCCAGCTCAGATGTCTTAATTAGAAATTTTTTCCACAGATGATAAAACAAAGTCTGACTATAGTGACTTAAACAAGGTTTTATTTTGCACAAAAATAAATTTGAGGGAAAGGTAGAAGGTTCATGGCATATAGGTCCCTATCTCTGTACAGTGTTAGTAAGCAAGGCTAACCAGCACAACCCTCTCTGTGTTTTTTAACAGCTTTTCTTGATAACTCACCACAAAAGAATAGTTATGTCAGATATCTGTAAGACAAACATCAGGTCCAAAAAAGATGTTTAAATAGCACAAATACTGATAATTGGTGTGCAAAAGAGAAAAAACTAAGCAAATGTGGGAAAATGTTCCATTTCATTATTTAAATAAAAATGCCTTCTACACTCTGCAAATTGATAGACTATTACATATATAATATATATACAATATTCTCTTACTATATTATATAAGCTTGCTATATAGTGCGTGCGTGTGTATGTGTGTGTGTGTGTGTGTGTGTGTGTGTCAGAGTTTCGCTCTTGTTGCCCAGGCTGGAGTGCAGTGGCATGATCTCGGCTCACTGCAACCTCTGCCTCCTGGGTTCAAGCAATTCTCCTGCCACAGCCTCCCGTGTGGCTGTGATTACAGATGCCCGCCACTACGCCCAGCTAATTTTTGTATTTTGAGTAGAGACAGGGTTTCACCATGTTGGCCAGACTGGTCTCAAACTCCTGACCTCAAGTGTTCCACCCACCTCAGCCTCCCAAAGTACTGGGATTACAGGCATGAGCCACCGCACCCAGCATATATTTTAAACTTAATAATACTTAGTGCTGACTCTCATGCTGAAACTGGCACATATCAAAATACCTGGTGGAAGTGTAAATTGATTGAGACCTTCAGGGCAGTGGCCCCGTAACATTTGACATGGTAATGTCACTTCAGGGAACCCTTCCTAATAAACTGAACCAAAATAAAAGGGAAGCTATAGGCATAAAAATGTATATTATGACAATATTATATATAATAATCCAAATTTGAGGGAAATAAAACCATAAGTGTCTAATAGGGGAGTAATGACTAAGGAAATTGTAATGGAATAAATTTGATGGACTATAGGGAAGCTATTAAAATGATAATTATAATAACCATTTAGAATATGTAAAATGCTTATGATTTAAATAAAGTTGAATAAAGTCAAGGTACAAAGCAGGCAGTCATACAATTTTTGCCAAAGGTTTGGCAATGAAAGCAGAGGTGATGATCCTCAGACCCCACTCCCCTCCACCCACACTTTCAGACTTTATTGCTATAGTTTGCCAAGAAAACGTAAACATTTCCGGGAGAAGAGGCTCTATAATATCATCAAGAAAATATCCACATAGTTCAGAAATTTTAAAGAATACTTTAAGAAATTATTGCAACCTGGAAAAAATGTTTTGAAGATTATATATGCATACAAATGAATGATGGAATTCAGGTTAGCAGTTTGTAAAATCTTCTCTTTATCTTGGATTTTCTGAAGTAGATTTAAATTTATTTTCATTTCTTTTATTTGGGATTTATTGATAGGATAATTAGTATGTTTCAATAATTCTAGAAAAATGTCATCCATGATCTTTTTGAATATTGCCTCTCCCTTATCTCTGTCAAGGAAATCAAATATAAATTAATATTCAATGTATGTTTTCTATTTTCCCTTTGTCCTCCACATCTTTTAACCTTACTTTCTTATTTTCTATTTCTTTGTTTCACTGTAGTAAATTCTGATTTTTCTCATATTTTTGTTCCATATTAATAATTCTTTCTTCAACTAGATTGAATCTACTTGTAAACTCATTCATCTCAAAACCATTTCTAAAAAACATATAACCGTGGTTATTTTATATTACCATAACTGATTATTCCTGCATATGCAGTGTTGATGGGCATCATTCATTAGTTTGATTTTTCTGTTGAGTGTCAATAGTATAGGCCTGTTTTCTCAATTATTTATAATTTTTAAAATTCTAAATGTATTTTTTTTAATATTAAAGTCTGTTTTTGTAGATTGGTGTTAGTGCTCTTTTCTTCATCTGGAACTTTTGTTTTTCTCCCCTAAGTACTTGAGGACACTGCCAATCAGAAACCACTACAGACAGCATTTTTGGCTTGAGGCCTGTTGGGCTACAGGGACATGTGAATTATGATTCCAAATCTG